CACAACGCTCCTGTATGTGCTGGTACAGTGCCACATCTACCTGGTGATTTTTGTGGCTAACCGAAAGACCTGACCGTGGGCATCATCACGTCCACTCACAGATGAGGAAGCTAAAGCAAAGCCAGGCGTTCACGGAACCCCCAAATCCTGTTGTAGGGCACCCCAAGCCACTCTCAAAGACTGCTTCCTACTCAAGACCCTGGTCTTAAAAAACCTTCAGTACCATACCTTAGGAGATGAACGGAGTCCAAAGGACAATGTTCTTCTTCTAAAACTGTGACCAGTGCTGGAGTGTGTAGAGAGTCTTTCATCCCTAGAAATGGGGTTCAGTGGGAAACGTGGCCATTGCTTGACCATCAGGAAAAGCATGCTGACCTGGTGTGAGACCGTGCATAGATGCCCTTCTCCAAGTCAGGTCTTTACAGCCAGCTACTGCCTTGCCACAGTCTGTTGAAAGTCATCCCAGACACACACATCTCACACACACACACACACACACACACACACACACACACACACACACACACACACATGCATGTGTACACACATCAACACACCCATGAACACACACGCATGCATGCACATACATGCATGTACACACAGGCACACACATGCATGCACATGTATCCACACGTAAGTACACACTCCCAAATGCAAACCAGTAGGCAGAATGACCTGTTGTAGCATCTGAACAGCTCCAAGGGAGCAGCAGTCCCCACGTACAGAACTCAGTTCTCCACTAGGCTGACTGTTTCATGGTTTCTCAGGAGTATTCCAGTTACTGATGGTGGAGCCTATGTCCTCAGCTCCAAGATACTGACCAGGAACCCTTGAGAGGTCCCACCATACATAACAGCACACACCAGCGCACATGCGGTCTGGTGGGTGAGCTCACATAGCTTCAGGAAGGAGCACCAGAGGACACACAAGGAGGGGATGGCCGGATGGCCTTGGTCCCGTGTGGCTGGAAAAGGCTGCCCAAGAAGACCAAGTATTCCTTCTTCTTTCCAACTAGATCCAGCACTGCTTGAACACCTACTGTATACCAGTTCTGGTCAGGCCTGAGGAAGCCTTAGGGAGATGGCTCAAGTAGCCTGCTGGAGGCCCCAGCAGTCCAGTGCATGGAAGATTCTGCCTTGACACACCTTCTGGATTCATATTCCACTCCAGTGCACCCAGCTCTCAGGTCTACCACTCCACAGGACAGTGGGGCCTATCTCAGGGATGGCTGGAGGACTCATTAGACCATAGAGACAAAGATCTAGCCTAGAGTGGGCCTTACAAGCAGCAACAAACACACCCCTAAACCCCCATGTCAGGCACGCAGGAGCCAAGGCCTCTTGGCACCCCGGGCTCGTTAATTGAATAAATATTCATCTGTGTGGAGTGCCCAAGTATGTGGTTTCCATGGATACCCCTCCTAATGGCTTAATGAGACAAGGGCGCAGACTCTCCAAAGCTAGAGCGGTGCTGGGGCCTATGGGGAAGCATCGGAGGCAGGATACCTGAATCCTGGACAGATGCTGAGTGGACAGACAGAAGGCAGCTCTTTCCCCATGAGGTTGCTGTACGAAACCTATCCCCAAGGCCACCCACCTTTTGGATCTGCTGACTACATTGTGTTAGACATGTCTGCCCTGCCTCCCTTCCATCACTAGTGCCCTCCAGAGACACGTGTGTTCTGTATGTAATACCTGCCAACATGACTTAAAGGATTCACAATGTGCCATGAACCTTTTATGTAATCTTTCCCCTTGATGGACCCCTGCTCTCAGCCTAGCTGCCTTCTGCCTCTGCCCAGTCCCCACTTGACCCCAGCAAGTGCCTCGGGGCTGTGATGCTCAGGGACAGCTACCATGAGCCATCATAACAGGGAGTCAGGAATCGACAGGGTGAGCGGCTCTCAGCAGTTCCAGCCACTGGACCTAACCCACAAGCCTACCATCATGGCCGGGGAGCAGGAAAATGATCGTGCCTGCCACCTTCCCAGCCTCCCCTGAGGGCTTCTCACGGACAGAGGTGATGGAGGACAAGGATCAAGGTGTGCCAGGCTGCTCACAGACTGTCTGGCCTGTGACCACATGGTCTAGGGTTGCCACTTGACAGTGACATATCAGTGGCATCCCTGGACTCCTGATATGTCTGTGGCTCTTTCAGGATTGGATACAGCCTGTACTTGACCCAGAGCTCAACACAGCTGGGTGGACCCTGTGGGCAGCTGACCGCCTGGGATTAGTCATGGCTGGGTTGTGAATGGGAAGGCTGCACCGAGGTACGCAGAGGCGGCGATCTCCCTGGTGATCTCCAGAGGGCCTGTCTTCCTGAGTGTACCCCAATGTATTCACAGTATCACGGCCAATGTCTGTGCACTGGCCAGTCATTTATAAAGATTTCCTGGCTGGGGACACTCTCTGATAGCCTCTATCACCGAATTCATGGCAACTGAAACTGTGGGTGGCCGTGAGTATGGGGTGCAGGTGACCAGACCTCTGTCACATCCACCTTCACACAGACGTAGCCCAACTGGACAAAGACCAGAGCTGGATTCCCATAGTCAGGTGTGTGAGCTGGACTCTTGAGTGGGAGCCGGGCTCTACCGTTTCCATACATACAGAGGCATCGGGGTGTGAGACTAATGCCCCTGCCCCCCACGGCAGGGTCTTGCCAACTCTCAGGCATCCTGAAGGGCCAGGAGGCAGCCAGCTCCACCAGGAGGTATAGAAGGGCTTTCTATGGCTTGCTAGTCTGAGAGTGGGAGGAAGTAGGCGGTGGAAATGATGGTGGGAAGGGTGGTAGGCTCAGAGCTGTAGGGGTGGGAGGCACAAGGGTATGAGGACAGAGTAACACAGTTAGGAATCTGTTAGGACCCAAAGCAAGGCCAAGAGGGCTGGGGTAGCCTGGGCACCAAGGCCTGCTGCAGGGGAGTTCTGGATGCCTAGTAGATGTCTACCTGTAGGGATAGCAGGGTGCAAAGCTGTCTGGGAAAGTCTGCACTGAACTCAGCACAGCTTCCGTGGCCAGGCCTCTCCGGCAAGCCAGGGTGAGATGATGCATAGGTCTCCAGAATACAATGGGGTCCATCTGTCCCCCATTTCCAGGTGGGACCCTGGAAATGTTGCCCTTTTCTGGACACCAACTGTCCTTGCACCCACACTGTTAGGACACAGGAAATATTCAACACTCAACTTAGAGGTCCCCTCTACACCAAAGGGTCCCTGGTACCCGTCACTTTCCAGGAGGGCAGGGCTGACCGAACTCCATGACTACACAGACTTCCGTGAGTACGGGCTGGCCTGACACAGAGAGCCTCCTGGGTAACAAGAATGAGGCACTGGCGGGAGTCTGCATTTTTTTCCTGCTGTAGTTGAAACAATATCTAGAATGAGACATCTAATTACGTTCTTTGCTAGAAATCGAACTATAACATGTCTTGTCGATACAAACCTTTGTTCAAGTCAAACACTACTCTCAGGGCATGGCGGCGAGAGGGGCTTTGGTCTTTAAATAGTTTCTCTAAGTATAATCCCAGCAGCTGACATGTCTGTTTCAGCCTTTGTTCCCTCCCCAAGGTATCTTTGTGCGGCTGTGTTCCTGCATAACAATGCCACATAATTCAAGCTCATCTAAAGACTTGCTAGTTAGCACTTCCCAAGCCCAGAGGGCCTTAGGAGACATTAGAACCAGCCTACTCATTTGTCAGCGGAATCAACAGTCTCTCAGGATATGGCAAAGTAGCAAAGGTCACCAAATCTCCAGTCTGGTAAGATCTGGGGTTCTGGGCTTGGGTGGGGACAAGGGAGGCGTCCATTGTTGACCAGTCTGGGTCCAAACCTGGTGGTACTTTCTGTCGTCAGCACCCGACAGTGACCCTGCTCTGCTCTAGCCTTCCCTGCAACTCCAGGCCTTTTCTAAGCAGAAGCTCTGGGGCTCTGCAGGCTCTGACTGTCACTGCTCCATGTCTGCCGACTTCAGGGGGATGCTCTGCGTACTGCTACTTCTGGGTCCTCCGTGCCTGTCATACAGCACAGCACTCCTGGAACACTGGTTCTGTTCATCAAGGGAATGGCTATGTCCACCAGAGACGGCTGGGCCGTGCGTGTGTGCACTTGAGCACAGAAAGTCCCCCACAGTCGCCAGAAGTCTGAAGCCAAGGTGTATGCAGGGTCTCACTCCCCGTAGGCTCTAGGAACCCCTTTGGACTCTCCAGGCTCTCAATGACCAGATGTTCTTGGACTGGAGTCGGTCATTCCACGTCCCCTTTCCCCATGTGGCCCCTCGCCTGTGTCTCCCTCCTTTTACCTAGTAAGGACACTAGTCACATGGAATGAGGGTCACCCTGATCCAACGTGACCTTCAACTTGATCACATCTGAAAAGACCCTGCTTTCCAAAACACATGCAAGGATATGAGGATCTCTCTCTCAATCTCTCTCTCTCTCTCTCTCTCTCTCTCTCTCTCTCTCTCTCTCTCTCTCTGTCTCCTAGCTAAAGTGGCAAGATTTGCTCAGAGGAAGCTGTTCCCTTCTCATGGGACACACCCATGTTTTGGTCAAGGAGCCATTTAATAACCTGTGGGACAGACAACCCCAATCCAAAAATGGGTTTCTAGCCCCAAGTGCCAAGGACACTAAAATGCTTTGCTTTGGAGTGACAGAACACTGATCTTGGACTATAGCTGCCATGAAAAGATCTACTTCCCAGCTTTCCTTGCAGTAGGTGTGGCTACATCACTAAGTTCTGACCAATAGGATGTTAGGGTCAAGACAATGGGCAACTTCTAGGTGAAGTCGTTCTGTGGACGGAGGACTGTAGCCTCCTGCCTCCCTTTGGGAACATGGACACAATGCCATAATCAGAGCTGGGGTGGCTACCTAAGGTCTCCACGTGAGGCTGCTGTTTTGCTGTCCTGCAGGGCTAAGGTCCTTGGGCCAGCCCTGTGCAGACTTTGGTGCACAGGAGAAAAAGAAGCTTCTGTCTTGTTGAAGAGTTAGGGACTCTTACTCAAGTAAACCAGCTAAATTTATTTCCAGTTATATCCAATGCTCGGCTCTAAACCGGAGCCCAGTCTCCTTCCTGCCCAGGACACATCTCCAGTAGAAGTTTGCACACACATGGGCCATGCTTTCTTCCTGAGGTTTCTGGGAAGGGAAAACATGAGAAGAAACAGTCAATTTTGCTGAGCTGTCCAGGGCCAGAGGCCCCTGGGTGGTCTCTATGAGGTGGACAGACCAGTGAGGTAGCCCCCCCCTTGCCCCTGTGGATGGTCAGGCCAGGTGGGGCAGTGGCTGGAGGCTCCACACATTAGCAAAACACCAGAGGCAGCTTCCAGGGTCAGAGCGAACATGAGCCTTCTCAGCTTGTTTTTCTGAACACGTTAAGAACTCTGGCATTTTCCACTTTTAAAAACCCACAGCCAAACCAAACAAGAGCCTCTCTGCGCTCCTCTCGCTCTGCAGCCCTTGTCTGCCACAGACACGGTCAGTCTCATAAACTGTCAGGGAGTCACTTCAGCTTAATGAACATGCCTGCTGGGAACAGGTTTGGGGGTGGGGGCGGCAGCCGAGATGCAAGGCATCCGAGTTCCGCACGATGAGGGTGGGCCGAGAGATACAGTGATCCCACATTGTGTTATACACACAACACTCACCACTCTTGTGTCCAACTCATGTGCCAAATGGATGTAAGAATAGGTGACCTCCTTGTCTTTAGTCACCTGTGACACCGCTGGGGCTGGGGATCAAGACCACTCTGCAGCCCCTCTGGAACTCTGCACATTCTTGGTGGCAGCAAATGGGAAGAGGCATGGGTGAGGTTGGGCTCAGTGCTCTCTGGGCCTTGGGTGTCTTTGCTATGAATGAACGCTCACTCTCAGTGTGGGATTCCTTCATGTCCTTGCTGCACTGGTGCCACGCAGAGGGCGATGCAGCGCCGGGGCAGCCATCCTAAAGGGAGCACAGGAAAGCAGCAGCTCCCAACAATGAGAGACGTGGGGAGGCCATTCTGAAGACAGAAGCCCTTGGCACCAAACGAGGGTCCCCACAGTAGTCTCTGTGGAAGTGGGGAGGCACCATGGCGGTATCTACTAGTGTTCATTTGGGGGGCAGCAGCCGAGCCCCCTGCCACCTGAGTGCTTCTCTGTAACCAGGGAAGTACATCCGCCTCCGAATACTTTGCCCCGCTTTCATTAAACACCCTGGCAAAAAGCAACACAGAAGAGGAAGAATTTACTGGCTTACAATCCTAGATTACAGTCCATCACCGCAGTAGGCCAAGGCAGGGGCTCAAGCTGCTAATCCCATCACACCTGCAGCAGAGAGAGAATAAATTTATCTTTGCTTGCTCGCCCTCAGCTAGCTTTCTCCTCTCATATTGTTCAAGACCCACCGCCTAGGAAATGGTGCCACTCACAGTGGGCTGAGTCTTCCTACATCAATTAACAACCAAGATAATCCCCCAAGGATATGCCCATGGGTCAAACAGATCTGGATAGCTCCTTACTAAGACATTCTTTCCGGGTGATTCTGAGTTGCATCCATTAAAACTAACCATCCACATATCCGCAAAGAGGGGACGTGAACAGCCTCTAACTCTTGGGTAACAGTGATATGAATGTGAACCAGAGGTTTCCCCTTGCCTGTCAGGTGTCTGCACAGTCCCAAGGAGATAAACCTGGCAGGTGGGAGGGGGGATCAAGAGGCTCCACCTCATGGGTGCATCCTGTGGGGCCAGGCCTCTGGCAGCCTGGTTGTGGTGAGGTGCGGTAATACACAGAATTATTGGAGGGCTGCCAAGATCTTGTTCAGCTAAGGAGGCCAGAACTGGGGTCCTCCCCTTAGACAGCCCCTCTAGTCCCAGCTGAGCTACCTCTTGGGCTCCTGTAACCACGTGTAAGAGACTTTAAGCATAGAAATTGTGCTCAGTGTTGAAAATTAGCAGGGCTATCCTGAGACTCCCAAGTGGGCAGTTCCCAGAATGTTGAGTTCCCTGTCTCCTGCAAGCAGGTAGAGACCAAGGAACCCTGAGGAACACTGAAAAGGAGACCCAACATCATCCAGGACCAGACTCAGTGAAATAGTGATGGTGGTGGTGGTGGTGTGGTGGTGGCGGTGGTGATGGTGGTGGTGGTGATGGTGGTGGAGGTGATGGTGGTGGTGGTGGTGATGATGGTGGTGGTGATGGTGGTAGTGGTGATGGTGGTGGTGGTGGTGGTGATGGTGGTGTGGTGGTGGCGGTGGTGATGGTGGTGGTGGTGATGGTGGTGGTGGTGATGGTGGTGGTGGTGATGGTGGTGGTGGTGGTGATGATGGTGGTGGTGATGGTGGTAGTGGTGATGGTGGTGGTGGTGGTGATGGTGGTGGTGGAGGTTGTGGTGGTGATGGTGGTGGTGGTGGTGATGGTGGTGGTGGTGATGGTGGTGGTGGTGAAGGTAGTGGTGGTGGAGGTGTTGGTGGTGATGGTGGTGGTGGTGGTGGAGGTGGTGGTGGAGGTTGTGGTGGTGATGGTGGTAGTGGTGATGGTGGTGGTGGTGGTGGTGATGGTGGTGGTGGTGATGGTGGTGGTGGTGGTGGTGATGGTGGTGGTGGTGGTGGTGGTGGTGGTGGTGGAGGTGGTGGTGGTGATGGTGGTGGTGGTGGTGGTGGTGGTGGTGAAGGTGGTGGTGGTGGTAGTGGTGATGGTGGTGTGGTGGTGGTGGTGAAGGTGGTGGTGGTGGTGTGGTGGTCATGGTGGTGGTGGTGGTGAAGGTGGTGGTGGTGATGGTGGTGGTGGTGGTGATGGTGATGGTGGTGATGGTGGTGGTGGTGGAGGTGGTGGTGGTGGTGGTGGTGATGGTGGTGGTGGTGGGGTGGTGGTGATGGTGGTGTGGTGGTGGTGGAGGTGGTGGTGGTGGTGGTGGTGATGGTGGTGGTGGTGGTGGTGAAGGTAGTGGTGGTGATGGTGGTGATGGTGGTGATGGTGATGGTGGTGGTGGGGTGGTGGTGGTGATGGTGGTGGTGGTGGTGGTGATGGTGGTGTGGTGGTGTGGTGGTGGTGGGGTGGTGGTGGTGGTGGTGAAGGTGGTGGTGGTGGTGGTGATGGTGGTGGTGGTGGTGGTGATGGTGGTGTGGTGGTGTGGTGGTGGTGGGGTGGTGGTGGTGATGGTGGTGAGGTGATGGTGGAGGTGGTGGTGGTGGTAGTGGTGATGGTGGTGGAGGTGGTGGTAGTGGTGATGGTGGTGTGGTGGTGGTGGGGTGGTGGTGGTGATGGTGGTGAGGTGATGGTGGAGGTGGTGGTCATGGTAGTGGTGATGGTGGTGGTGTGGTGGTGATGGTGGTGGTGGTGGTGAAGGTGGTGGTGGTGATGGTGGTGTGATGGTGGTGATGGTAATGATGTGGTGGTAACAGTGGTAGTGATGGTGACAGTGATAAATATCAACTATGGTTTATTAAGAGTATGAAAAGTGTCAGGAATTGTAAATATTAGTTCTTTTTTATTAATTTTTTTTTAAAAAATACCGAAGTCAAGCTCTTAAACAGGCTGGATGACACAAAGAAAGAGCTCACAGGTGGAAACCCGAGGCTCACGAGGGCAGATGGCCCAGCAGTTAAGGCAGTACCAGAGCTAAGTCTGTGTCCAGAATGGACAGTGGATAAGTCCCTGTCCTGCCTACTGCGACTCTTCATTTCCCGCTGCTGCCGCAGAGTATCCAATGTAATCGATTCTAACCACACGTGTACACACATGTGTACAAGAGCACATGCATGCACACATATGCATATTGATGCATTCACGCCTGTACATAATGCATCCACATACAAGTGCACATGCACACACACAAATATGCATATATGCATGTGTATATGTATACGCACGTATGTGTACACATATGCACATACCTACACACATTTTTCCCTACACTTTTAGATGTCAGAAGCCTGAACTGTGTCCACAGGGCTGGCTTCTCCTGGAGGTTGTGCTGGAGAATCTGTTTCCTGGGCTCTCCCACTTCCCGTGGCTGTTTCAGCCCATCCCTTTTGGCCTGAACCTCCTCTGTCAGCCCTGGCTTGTTTCTGTCACCCGACTTCCCATGACTTGCCTGCCCCTCTCATTCACTCGAAGACACCTATGTTCACAGGGGACCCACAGGCATACTCCAGGACACTCTGTGTTGTGAGATCCTTGACTCACACAGACATAAAAGGTACGTTAGGCACGCGGTGCCAGAGTCACAGGTCCTGGGGACTTGACCACGGGCAGCTTTGGATGTACAGTGGGAAGAGCTTATTTAGTTTGCGCCTCAACAGCAGGAAGCCTGGTCAAGGGTGGCTCCAGGGTGGTTCAGGGCAGCTCCAAAAGAGTGGCATTAGGGGCACAGACTGTTTCTTCTATGACGTTCATCCTTGTCCTCATCTTCTCTTGGTCACAGGACAGACAGCTGCTGCGTCTCTTGGCATCACATCCTCATACATGCGTGACCAACCAGGAAGGGTAGCAGCAGGCCTTCCTCTCCATTTTTCACTGACAAGGAGGTCTTACTGGCCAGCTTGGACCCTACAGCCTTGGACCAGGGTTTAACAGACCTTCTGGGCAGCCTGGGCAGCCAATGAAAGAAAGGTGGTTTCTTGAGGTCATGTTCTGAAGCCAATTGGCCACGCAGTCCAGGCTCCAGGCTCTGCGTCAGCAGTTTCTAAAGGCCAAGGCTGGAGGAGCGGGATCGGGGAACAAGAACCCTTGATCTGATCATCTGTGTACCTGCAGGGCTGCACACAGACAATGCTAGGTTGTGTCTGCAGACCCAGTGAGGGACTTAATAGATGTGGAGACTGGGGGCTGAGGCCCTCAAACACCAGCTCAGGCCACTGGGGCAGCAGTGGGAACATCTGGGACTCTCAACACTGATATGGGGTCCAAGCTGCCAGAATGGCAGGCTGGAGGCAGCGAGGCTGCAAGCAGCCAGGGATGCAGAAGCAGGCCGGAGCTTGAACCCTAGCTGACCAATGCCAAGGCACACAGTGGGTACGCAGAGAGAGAGAGACACTGACCCTCTGTTTTCCATTACATCCCATGCCAATCCCAGCCAGTCCAGCAAGCACTTCTCCCTCAAGAGGGCTGCGCCAGCTCTGTTGGAACTCGACTTTGCCAAATCAATGATCAATATGCAATGGATTCAGTCTGCAGGCTGGGGCGCCAGGAGCCGGCCCGGCTGCCGGATCCCTGCCATGTTCTGACAAGACAGATTGGTCTCTGGAATTCTTCAGGGAGAGGCAGAGAGGGAAGCAAACTCCAGCTTCCCCTGGCTCATCTTTAAAACTGAAACTGCACATAAACATAGAGGGGAAAAAAAATCCTCAGCTCCACTCCAAAGAAAAACACGTCCTCTCGCTCTTGAGACAAGAGACACAGCTGTTTCCATGACTCTGTCACCAGTCGGAGCTAAGTGAAGCGAGGTCTCTCCCCGACCCTGGCTCTCCTCAGTGCCCACAGGCACCAACCAAAGACAAAGATGGGCAGGTCGGCGGAGACTCTCCCTCAGGGAGAGGGAGTATCTGAGAGCCAGCACAGATCTGAGCGGCAGTAGTGCAATGTGTTCATTCCAGACAGGGAAACTGAGGCCTGGGAATGGGGAGGGTCACTCAGCTGCCAAGCAGCAAAGAAAGCCATAATCAGGAGCTTAAATTCATATCTGATGACTCCACTCTCTTCAGAATCAAGGTGTGAATGGTTGCACACACAGCATCGACATATTTGTGTGCATGCATGCTTATGTGTGGCTGTGTGCATGCATTGTGTATGAATATGTGCATACTCATGTAGGTACACATGCACATATGTGTGTGCATACATGCCTTTGACTGGTACTTACAGGTGCAGAGACACACGTGTGTGAGAGTAAATACACAGGTACACTGTAAAGAATATAAAGGTATGTATTTACACACACGGTGTAAATGTATGGCTATGCACATGCAAGTGGTGTGTAAGCATGCATGCATGTATGCACAGGTGCACATGTATACACACATGTAAATGTAAGTGCATCTTCATGGACATCCATGTCTATAGGTAATGGGTATATGTGTACATACTTGAGTAAATATACTTATGTGGGTGTGTGTACATGAATATGGGTGTGCATGAATCCATGGGGGAGTGGTGTATGTATGTGTTCATGTATACCTATGAGAGCAGCAGAGTAATCCAAGGAGACCAGCTCCCATCAGCACCTGCCAGGCTGATCTGCAGCCTGTTCACTGCACCCAGGGTTCACCAGAGACAGACAGCCAAATCCCTCTGCAGAGACTTGGCATGGAACTGAAGGTCCAGGACCCAACGCCCAGGCACTATGTGGCCCTGGCTGGACCAACCCCACCATTCTAGGCATCACGCATCCATGTGTCACTGAATACCCAGGAAGCTTCGCTTCATCTGGCTTTCCTTCTGAAATGCGCCAGGACCTTCCCAGCATGCCTCCACATAGTGGTACAGACACACCCACTGCTGCCAGTGTGGCCTGCCACCAGCTGCTCCTGAACACAGTCTTTGGGGGCGCACACAGCTTGCCTGCCACAGAACAACCAGACAGAGACTGTCAGGCCTAATTGGCTGTCTCTGGGCAAAGGGGCTTGTACAGCCTCTTTATAAGTCCCTTCCGTCCCACACGCCTCAACACCTGCCCCAAATGCAGCCCAGGGTTCCCAACCCAAGGGCTAAGAGCCCTCACCTCTGGCTGCTGACCCCAGAGTGGAGGTGCGGCCAGCATTCCTACAGCTTGCAGCTACCATCCCCAAGGACCCAGGTCACTCACTGGCAAGCCTTCCAGATGCCCTTGCCCGGCTGACCCTGCACACCGTTCCCAAGGCAGATCCCTTTGTCTTTGTATGTCTTGTGTCTAGACAGCCACCACTTGTAAGCATGAGGTTGTGCACAGTCAGGGCCTGGGATAGACTACCTGTTGTGTCCCCGTCCCCCCCCCCCCCCCCCCCGTTTCTCACAAGAGGGCTCCTCTCTGATCCGGGAGGTCCACAGTGCTGCCTGCAGGGGGAGAAGCCATCTCTCCAACACTTGTATCTGACCAGTGCCCACTTACCCTTCTCACCATCATCTTCCTTTGCCCCCCCCCCATCTCCAGGACCAAGTCAGCCACTCCAGGGAGCATTTTCACCCATGAAGCATCCCACCAGAAGAAGCACCCACATCCCTAAGGAGTACTCTGTCCTAGGCAGCAGCCACACACCAGGGACTACCTCAGTCTCTGGGGAGCATGGCCCACAAGGCCTCTTCCTAATAACCCCTCCATACTGCAAAGGTGATACATGCTGTCACCTCCTCCCAGAAGCTTTCCTAGCCAGACATGAGTGAACACAGGCCAGGTCTCCTCTCACTCAAGTGTGCTGATGATGGGGTGGAGGTATGGAGGCTTCCGCATAAACCAGCTGAAGTTCTTCTGATCAGTGGCCCCTGTTAGGGCCTCAGGATGAGAAGGACCTTTTTAGTAACCATGGTGGCTCTTCCTCCCAGATCACATTCACAGATGAAAGCACAGGGCACTTAGTTACTCCTGAGCGAGAAAGTGCCCAGGATGGGCATCAGGAACCATTCCCTGCATGGGCACAGGACTCAGGACAGACAGGCCCATGTTCTGAACTGTTTGACTTCTGCCTGATCCTAGTTGGGCACCCCTGCCCTGAGGGAAGGCCCTGTGGGTCCCCTGGAGCTGCAGGGCTCCCCGGGAAGCTGCACTGCCTTCAAGGACTGCAGACCAGAGACAAAAGCTCCCCTGTTGAGCTCAGGGGGAAGCAGCCACCAGGGCAGGCACAAGTCCAGGCACCATAGGTCATTGCTCCAAGGTCCTCGAGATGACTTTCTGGGCACCAGAGCCCCTCTGCTAGTGTGTTGGTAGCTCTCCTCCTTTTCCCGTCCATCTGACTGTGTAGGAAGAGGTCCTGGCCAGCCTTGATGGGGAGAATGGTCCCCCTTCAGTCCTAGACCGGAAATGTTAAGTCTAAGAACTCCAGTTTATTCCCTTGTCCACCTCCTCCCTAGAGCTCTGTCTCCATAGACCTGGGGCTGCCTGGGGGCATAGACCAGTGTCTAGCACTCAACTCAGGTCACAGGTGACAGGACCTCTGTGATATGGACACACGAGATCTCCCCAACATTTGCTCGCTCTCCCTTGAACCCACTCCCACAAAATCGCCCAGCATATGGCAGGTCAGTCTGGAGTTTGTCAAAGGCATTGATCTTGAGTGTCCCCTCCAGCTTTGAAAAGCAGGGTCGCACAGCATAAAGATTAAACTTCAACAATTGCCAACATTGGTATAGAGCTTGGGAGCCTGATCCGGGCCTCCACTGGCACCGGGGTTATGATTCACGATCCCGCAGCGCTGGGAGGTGCGCAGAGGAGGGAACTGAGGCCGACTGAGGAGGTGGCTCAGCAGGGGAGCAGGGACCCCAAGCTCTACAGGAACGATGCGCATAGGCAGTGCCGCGTTCTCTGCCACGCTGCTACAGGCTCGCCCTCCAATCAGGCCGCGGACCCCGAGCCAGCCCCTTGTTGCAAGCGGGTGTGCGCGCCCGCGCGCTCCATCGCTTGTAACCCACTGAGGTGGAGGCTACGGTCTTAGAAAGAGCAGGTTTCTAGAACTCACCGCTCAGGCCAGCCCGCGCTCAGCCCGGCCCCGCAAGCTGCAGTCAGCCCTGGAGGGGGCGCCCTCGCCGAGTGCGCGCCCTGCGCCGCCGCCTCGGGCTCCTCCCCGGCGCCGCCGGCAGGTTCGCCCAGGCGGCCGCGGGCTCCGGCTGCGGGCCCGCTCCCCCCGGGCCGGTGGCTCGGGCCTGCGGGGCGCCCCGCCCCGCCCCGTTGCGCCCTCCCCGCTGCGCAACTGGACTCAAGTTGGAAGCTGAGCCCGGGCGGCGGCACTTGCGCCAAGCGCACCGCGGCGGCTGCGAAGACGCTGCACCGGCGAGCGGGGAGGGCGAGGCGGCGCCCGCACGGCCGAACGCGGACCACGGGGGGCGCCCGCACCTAGAACAGCAAGAGGACAGCGGGTGTAGGCGCCCAGCCCGGCAAAGTAAAGTTGCAGTCGGAGGTTGGGCGCGGGGGCCCGGAAGAGCGGCAGCCCGCGCCCTGGTTCGCCTAGCCCCAGCCAGGAGGATGGAAAGCAGATCGTCCGTGCTGCCGCCTGCAGCCTGCAGCCTGCAGCCCAGTCGGGTACCCGGACCGTGGAGCCGCTAGCGTGCGCCAGCTTGGACACTGCATCTCCGTGGGCTGGCGGCCCCGGCGCTCCCACTGAACCCAGGCCGAGGGCGGGGCCGCGCGAGGACCTGGGACCTACCCCCCTTCCCCCCACCGCCGCGTCGCCGCGCTCTCCGGGCACCTCCAGCTCTGCACTTACGCGCGCGGCAGCTGCGGGGAGCCCGGCAGCCACGCTCTCCAGCGCGCCGCCCGCCCGCCGGGCCACCACGGCCGAGGGCCGGCTGCGGGGCTTCGCGGCCCCCAGCAGGCACGCCGGAGGAGCAGGCGGCGATGTGGACGCCGACCCTGGCTGGGGGGCGCCCGAGCTGCCGCGACTGCGCCCCGGCTCCTGGCAGGACCGCGTAGCTCGCGGGAGGACCATGGCGTCCCCGGCGCTGGCCGCGGCGCTGGCGGTGGCGGCGGCTGAGGGCCCCAACGGGAGCGACGCGGGTGACTGGGGTAGCGGCGGGGGTGCCAACGTCTCGGGGACTGACTGGGGGCCGCCACCGGGCCAGTACTCCGCAGGTGCCGTGGCGGGGCTGGCAGCCGTGGTGGGTTTCCTTATCGTTTTCACCGTGGTGGGCAATGTGCTCGTGGTGATCGCTGTGCTGACTAGCCGAGCGCTGCGCGCCCCGCAGAACCTCTTCCTGGTGTCTCTGGCCTCAGCTGACATCTTGGTGGCCACACTGGTCATGCCCTTTTCGCTGGCCAATGAGCTCATGGCCTACTGGTACTTCGGGCAAGTGTGGTGTGGTGTGTACCTGGCACTGGACGTGCTCTTCTGCACCTCGTCCATCGTTCACTTATGTGCCATAAGCCTGGACCGCTACTGGTCGGTGACGCAGGCGGTAGAGTACAATCTGAAGCGCACGCCGCGCCGTGTCAAGGCCACCATCGTGGCTGTGTGGCTCATCTCGGCTGTCATCTCCTTCCCGCCTCTCGTCTCGTTCTACCGCCGGCCCGACGGCGCCGCCTACCCGCAGTGCGGCCTCAACGATGAGACTTGGTACATCTTGTCCTCCTGCATAGGCTCCTTCTTCGCGCCCTGCCTCATTATGGGCCTGGTCTATGCACGCATCTACCGCGTGGCCAAGCTGCGCACGCGTACGCTCAGCGAGAAACGTACCCCCGCCGGCCCCGACGGCGCATCCCCGACCACAGAGAATGGGCTGGGCAAGGCGGCGGGGGAGAACGGGCATTGCGCGCCCCCGCGCCCCGATGTGGAGCCAGATGAGAGCAGCGCGGCAGAGAGGCGGAGGCGCCGGGGAGCGCTGCGCAGAGGAGGACGGCGGAGAGAGGGCGCCGAGGGGGACATGGGCAGTCCAGACGGACCGGGACCGGGGCTGGCGGCCGAGCAGGGCGCTCGGGCGGCTTCTCGGTCCCCAGGTCCCGGCGGGCGCTTGTCGCGGGCAAGCTCGCGCTCCGTCGAGTTCTTTCTGTCGCGCCGGCGCCGGGCGCGCAGCAGCGTGTGTCGCCGCAAGGTGGCCCAGGCGCGCGAGAAGCGCTTCACCTTCGTGTTGGCGGTGGTCATGGGCGTGTTCGTACTTTGCTGGTTCCCTTTCTTCTTCAGCTACAGCCTGTATGGCATCTGCCGCGAGGCCTGCCAGTTGCCTGAACCGCTCTTTAAGTTTTTCTTCTGGATCGGCTACTGCAACAGTTCGCTCAACCCGGTCATCTACACGGTCTTCAATCAGGACTTCAGGCGCTCTTTCAAGCACATTCTCTTTCGCCGGAGGAGAAGGGGCTTCAGGCAGTGACCCTCAGGCCGCCTGGCACTGACCTCCCAGACAGCTCCGAACTCGGGCAGGCAGAGGGACCAATCAGGGGTGGCCAGGGGTGGCCTCTCCAGAGTTCCAGGAGTGGCCTGGAATTCAGAGCCCTTTGTGGAATGTGGCCAGCAGGAGCTGGGCGAGAGACAACTGGGCCTCAGGGAGTGGGGAGGAGAAAGGGAGACCCCTTTGCCTTCCCATCTCAGCGAGTGGCTGTGGCTAGGTTGTGGATCCAGTTCCTGAGAGAGCTTCTGTGGAGTGTGGCTGTGGTTTTAGGGCTTTAGGGGGCAGACAACTGCAGCAAGAAAGGACCCCCAACCCCAACCCCAAACACTCAGTGTTCCTTGTGAGCAAGGACTGACTTCCTATGACCTAAAAAGCGTCTGTCTCGGGGAGGAGAGGGTGCAGACAATCTCTGATTACTGAGAGTATTTGTTTGCCAAAAACAATGACAGCCAAAACAACCAAACCATTTTCTAAATAAACCTTTGTAATCTAAGTATCAGGTGCACTGGTCAGTCTTTAAGCTAGGGTGTGAGGGAACTCTCCAGACTGTCCCCTGAGTGTCCCACACAGGCACATACTCAAGTCCTGCCTGCCTCTCTCTCGTGAGGAAGGGAAGTATCTCTTTAAATAGTTAAATGTTTGGGGTATATGCAAAGTGGCATACTCAAAATTCTTTTCTGTAAGTGGCTAAGAGGCAAAGGAATGGAGGGCCTCAAGCTGATTCCAAGTTTAGATGCTGGGAAGTATCCTCCCCACCCCACCCTACCGCCATACCTCACCCCCACCCCCTTGCTCTGCCCAGGTGTTGCGCTAGGAGCTCTGTGTAGTTCTGGCATCCAGTATACTCTGAGTTGCCTCTTTAAGTGGGCAAGATGGGGTGAGACCTGTCCCAAGAAGTCTCCCCCCACCCATGGGGTTGGAGTTGTGGCCAGATGCCTTTGCCTGGTTGCTGGACGGTAGGGGTAAGCTGGACAGTCCCCAAGTATTGCTTCTGAATCAGAGCCAAGGTCATTGTGACCCAGATCCAAGGGAACCTGTTGAGCAGGGGAGGGGCTAGAGACCCCCAAGGACTTCTCCTCAGTGCCACCCACTCTTGCCTTTTGCTCAACCCTCAGTCCCCAGCATAAAATACTTTTGAGAGCCTTCTTGTCTCCAAGCCAAGACTCCATGAGCTCTAGTTAGCCCCATGTGGCAAGTCCTGGCAACCCCCAGGGTAGGTTGGGAGGAAGGTTGTTAGGACCTGGACCTGGGGTGGGAGAGTTGCCTCTACACCTGTGATCCAACTCACTCCAGTTGGGTAGGCTCCAGGGCTCTTGCCAGGATCCCTGCTGTGACTGCCTAGCCTGTATCTCTCCTGTGTCCCCCACCCCCATCAGTCCTGTCCTCCCCAAGTCCCTGCTGGAGTCAGACACCAGAGCAGGTCCTTCCTGGCCCAAACTGCCAAAGCTGTCTCTTGGGAAAAGAGCTTTCGGGTGCATGTGTACATCCATACACGCACACACACAGCTGCATGGCCTCTTCATCCACTGTGGATCCTCACCGTATCTCACAGTGTCAGGCCATCACTTCATGTGGTGACACACTTATTGTGTTCTGGGCTTAGACCCAAGTGGGGAAACTGAGCCTGGAGTGGTGAGAGGAATGGAATCGGGGACCTAAGGTGGATCAGGGAGACCTCAGTTCTCTCTGGCCCTGTGAAGAGAGAACTAGTTTGTAAGGTGCCACTCTGGTCCAAATTCACAGTTAGGGGCCTCGGGGTGATAGAGGGAAAGAGCATAGTTGATCCCACTAGGGAGAGGATTGTGCCCAGGGATTCTCCTATATGCTTCTAGGAAGGCCTCCTGGGCCCAGGGCCTCAGAATTGCTACTATAGAACCCGCATCTCAGAGCACCCAAGAATAGAACCTAGATTCTTGATGAGATGGGGAGGCAGTCCCATCCCCCTGCACTCAGTTACCCCAAATCCAACCCAAGACACTTTTGTCTTAAGCAGAGTAGCATTTTTGGATTCTGTGAATATTGCTACAGGCACATTTCATGAAGCTCAGAGAGGTTAATAAACTTGTCTGGGATCACACAGCTAACCATAAGACCCAGGCAGGGTTTGGGTTCCCTGGCTCAAAATTTGACCATAAAATAAAGATTTCCAGGCAGGTCTTCACCAACCCTTAGGTTGTGGGGAATGGATTCCCACTGAGGAGGAAGGGGCCCAGGCAGGAACTAGCTGTAGGAAAGGGCAATTGTGTTTTAGGAAACTAAATCCTGGGATTGTGGGTAGGAGAGGAGAGACATAACAGGAGGCTGGAAAAAAAAAGTCTGGGTGCCAGGTTGAAGGTGTGGAGGGGGGGAGTTTTGGGTCCCTGGAAGGCTAAGTTCTGCCAATGTGTTGACCCAGCAGCCAGAGCTGTCCTGTTATGCAGACTGGGGTGGCCTGATCATCTGTGAGTTCCAAGGGCCTTGGGTACAGTAGGGGCCATGTCAGCCCAGAGCCAGGCATCCTGGGGATTCGCTCTGTGAACATCTCCAGAGCTCTGCCGAGGCTGTCAACAAACCCTACACTTTTTCATTTCCTGAGCCCAGGAATGATGCTCTAGGCTCTGGCTTGCACCCCACACAGTGGGGTAGTTGTTCATGGTCTCAGGGTCGATGCCTGGGGAGGCAGCTAAGCTGCTGGTTAAACAGACAAGCCCTCTGCAGGGACATGCTACCTTGCTTGTGTCTCACATCTTTTGAGGGTGAGGTGGGGTGCTCACATCTCCCTGGGATGCTGTGGGCCCTAAAGGTTCCCACATGCAGCCCTAGTGTATGGAGGAGGACCCCTGTGAGCTGTGGGCCAACAGCTCTATCTACTCCTGTGGTAGCCGTGGTCTCTATGGTCCTGGTGTTAACTGGCTTCCTCTATTTCCAGGTTTCTTTTACAAAGTCAAAGTTGTCGGACTCTGTCTGTGGTTGAGGAGACTGAGGCTTAGAGGTGACTGTAGTCCAGGTCCCTAAGGTAGTGGGAGAGAGAAGCAGAAACTACTCTGAAAGGCCCAGCTGCAGAGAGCCCAGATTCTGAGCCCTAAATCCAGCTCCATGGTTGACACAGACGTGACTCCGACCTAACAATAGAGGTTGTACAGCCTCCAGAAGAGTTCGGGCAAGATGAACTAAAGTCACCCCAGCAAGGTGGAGGAGGGCAGGCCCTGAATGCAGGGTGCTGCCCTAAGTATAGGGTGCTCAGGTCACTCTGCCTGCCCCAGCCTGCGGCACACATGGACACATGTGAGTATACTTAACCCGGATGCAGACGCTCAGTCGGTGGAGAGGGAAAAGATAATCCGGATATCCCCTTACAGCTCAGGACGGAATCCAAAAGAACTCGGGATTGCTGATACTTAACAGAAGCAGCTCGGATCTCTGAAGCCCCCCAGGGTGGGGGCGGAGGATGGGAGGCACGTTGCTGTAGCACCTGATGGCGAGAAGGCCGCCCGCCCTTCCTGGAGCGCTGGCAGTGGCTGTATTTTTATATCAAATCTATGGGTTGGGCTCAAATAGTCCAGCCCAGTGTTGTTTCAAAACACACGGTGCCTGCAGGCCTGCCTTGAGTCTGGTTGGGCCGCTGTGACCTTTTGTCCAGTTAAACGCCAGCTTCACGGACCTGTGACAATCCCATATGTAAGGAGTGAGTAGAGGAGATGGTATCCCCAGAGCATGTGGCCAGCCTATACATTCCCCTTAGCTGGGGACACCTGCCACCCATCCCTGGGTGTATCTCAGGGGCAGAACATGAGTGTGGGGTGGGGATTTCATGGATTTTGTGGGTCCTTGGAACTGAGGGACAGAAAGGGGAAGTGGTAGGGGCCTGTCTGCACCACCAAAAGAGGGTCTGGGAGGGACCTGTGGGTTCCTACTAGGTCTTCTCCTACTTGGCACCCAGTCTAATAAGGGCACAGTTCCCCCTCCCCACCTCCTACACCTCCCACCAAGGCAGAGCAGGAGGTGAAAGGGCCAGGGTGCCTCCAGCAGGGTGCAGCGCAGTCCTCTGAAGTCAGCCTGGGCAGTCGGGTCAGCTGCAGACTCTGGGCCAAAAGCGAGCCCTGGGGACCAAAAATGTATTTCTTCCCTGCCAAGAGGATTTGTGGCTGCTCACAGTAAAAGCCCAGGGACAATGGGATCATTATGGTCAAGATAAGGAATCAGTCCACTCAGGGCAGAGAGAATGCTGGGTAGTGAGCCGGGTGGAAGGCATCCTGCCCTCAGGTCTGAACACAAACCAGGCCCAAAGCTGCCTGGCAGCCATAGAGAAAAAAAAAAGAAACAGGATATGCACACAGTTATTGATGTGGAGTTGACAGGAAAAGCTGGAGACCAGGAAGTCTACAGCACAGGACCTCCTCAGCTGGGGAGAATCTGCTCCCAGGAAGGGTTTTCAGGTACCTCAGAGAACTCCCAAGCACTCCGTTCACTGCACTGGCCCGGTCTCCAGGCCCAGTCTCCATCAGCAACCACAGGCCCGAAGTGTCAGAGTCAGGGACACTGAGGATCGGCAGCCATGCTTGAAACTGTGGCCATGTAGCTATGTGGCCTCCACATTCCCACAACCACATGAGCCTGGGGTCACCAAGGCACCAAGGCTGCCAGCACCAGGAGCTTTCAGACTCTTCCAAGCTGGCTCCCATGGCCCAGGACAAACCCACCTCAGAAGAGTCCCTTCTGGTGCCCCTTCCTGCTCATCACTCTGCCCCTGATAACTAGTGCTAGTTCTATGTCACACCTGCCCTGGCACATGTGTCTGCCTGGGTCCGCCTGGCCCACCTCACCTCCAGAGAGGCTCTCTGAGGCTAAGCTAGCCACTGCCCCTGTCTTCTGGTTGCAGACATCAGGTCTGTCACAGCAAACGGCTGAAGAGCTTGCAGCATTGAGAGACCCAGGCTCTGCCTCACTCCTCTCTGATGCTGCAGGGGATTTTCCGTTTGGAGTGCAGGCCCGGCTGCTGCCTCCGGCTGTTCAGATATCGGTGGGCGGGTTTCTCCCCCATTTGATCAGCTCCTACTGACTGTAACTCCGGAAGAAGGAGCATCTCCCCGGGGCTGCTGCACAGGAGCTGGCCTGCTTGCTGAGCATGAGGACAGGGATGCCCACCCAGGCTGTCTGGTGCAGAGTCTCCCTGTTTCACCAAGAGCATAGCGAGAAGGGCCTAAAAGACAACCGTGACAAAGAATGGGCATAAGGGACTCATTGAGTGCCGTGCCCATCATGCCACTGTGTCTGCCTCTTACACCCCATCAAGAATGCCTGTTTAACAGACATGAAAACTGAGCTCCAAGGAGGGAAGGCATGATGCTGGCCATGACCCTGAATACCCTAACACTCTGCCTCCCTCAACACACCATCCTGTCAGTTTTGAGTTGAGCAAACAAGCTTGGAGAAATGAAGTTGTGTTTGGTGGACAGAGCCCATGCTGCCCTGTCTGCCCATCTCCCCCATTCCTGTATCAAACAACACTTAGAT